GAGGATGAACGATATGTTCGACAAGTTGAAAGCTGCAGGTGCTGGTGTTGTGGATGATGATGAGGAGGAGGAGGAGGATGAGGATCGGATACATGACGGTGATGATAAGGATGTGGCATGGCTTTACAGCCTCAACATAGATCGAGATCCCACCGCCGAACGATCAGCATGAAGAGCGCACACCCCCTTTCCCTCCCCCCCCCACCCCCTTCGCACAACTCTCCTCTTATATCGGGCCGCACTACACCGTCAACATGCTTGCTTCATCAACTGGCCTAAAACTTTCTCGTCCAGTTGCTCCGTCTTGCACCAACACTCTACGTCAATCTCGCCTTGTACACGTCCGTCAAACCTCCCATCCTGCTCAACTCTTGAACGATGCATGCAGATTGGGCCTCTGACCTCTCCATAAACAAGCAGTTGACTTCAAACGTGAGCTCACGCTTTGTCGACTCTCAAGGCAAGAACGGGGTTCACATCATTATTATTAAAGGACGTGAATTTTGCTATGGGTTGTGCTAAGTGCGGGGCAAGGTATGGGCTAATCATCATAGTGTGGACGGGCAAATGCGGAAAAAGAGTGTTAATCCTTGAAGCCTCCGGATGGTTTTTGCGTAGCCAGCCTCTTCTTGAGTGCCTGCACGTCCAATCCTTGCTGCTCCCAAATCTGTTCCTGCCTAGAAACACCTTCGGAACCATCTGGCTTGAGCAAGGAAGGGATTTCGGCCGTAGCTGCTACTCTCAGGGCATGCCTCCTGCACGTAGGATCAGGTCTCCAATGATCGTACGTCGCGCTGTGCGTCGTTACTCGATTGTCCCAAACGACGACCGTGCCCGTTTGCCATCGCACCCTCAACGTCAACTCGGGCGAGTTGGTCATCAGACCAAAGAGGTGATTGAGGATCATTTGAGATTCCGATCGAGGGACTCCAGCGATGGCGGTGGTGAAGGCTGGATTCGCAAAAATGCTCTTCCAACCCGTGACGGGATGCGTGCGGACTAGCGGGTGCGTCGTCTCCAAAGCGGGTCTACGAAGGTGCAGGCCAGCTTTGGAAGCGCCTTCAGCTTGCGCGACGCCCGAATGAACGGCCTGCAAGCTCTCGCAGTAAGCTTTCATGGGATCGCTCAGCTTGTCGTACAATCCGTAACCGCTGCTGAACAGCGTGTCTCCCCCTCCATGCACTGGATTGGTGATGTTGTGCAGAGCCGTCAATCCTGGCGGATTGAGTTCGAAAGTGACGTCGGAATGGTAGAGCTCGGTGGATGTAAAGGCTAGGTCGCTAGGTTTCATCGACTCGTCGTGCCACACCACATGAACGTCGTCCAGACCGCGTCTTCTCGGAACACCAGAGGATGGGTGTTGATGCAGCGGTCTGTCCGACGCTCCAAAATATCCACCGAACTCTACCAATTGGTCAGGAGAAAGTTCCTGATCTCTAAACACCACTACACCGCGTTCGGCAACCAGCAGCGCCAATTCGTCTTTCTGCTGAGCAGAGAGCTTGTGAAGTTGAGGACCGATCAGCTCTGTGCCGATGTTGACGCTGAGGTGGTCGATCTTGGTAGATGCGCCGTACAAGGCGGCTTTGGACGAGTTCGCAAAGGTGCCACGGTCCACAAAGCTGGTGATTGGCTCGTAAGGGGCAGTGTTGATGTCGGAAGGGAAGCAAGGCTTGAGATCAGGAAAGGGGTACTGCCTATCTGCCTCGGACTCGGTGACCTTCAACGGGTTGTGGTACGGGCTGACGACAAGAGGAGGGCGTAGGTTAGAAGGATGAGCCACGGGAACGGCAATCGTGTCGACGCCAAGGAGCATCTTAACTCACTTGAAATCATCCACGACATACTTGGGCGGCTTCTTGTTCGACTGCTGCTCCGTGGTCGTTGTCGATGCTTGCTTGAGATCGCTTGCCTTTGAGCCACCTGGGGGCGAGTGATAGCGAGGTGGGGGACTACCAGAGACTGCAGATGGTGCCATTTCTGAAGTGCGAGGGGATGATTCTTCTGATCGACGTGCTTGTGAGAATGGCTGTATTGCTGAGTGCTGCGAGTCTGATGATGTGATGCTATGATCGCAATAGTGGTGCAACAGAGATCTGAGGACGTGTGCGTGTGCGTGAAGCGAGTGCTGTTGACAACAGAGAGGCCAGCGTTGTGTTTATATGTTTATGGACAGGAAGATGGATGCATGGCGTCGAGGGACTCGATGGAAGTAGATGGATGGATGCGCAGCGTCGTTTGATGAGACCTGATGAATTACGATCGAGTAGGCGCATGCGATGCGAGTGGGCGTGTCATCATACCCGCAATTAAGAGAGGAGAGGAGGGGAGAGGAAAGAAGGATGCAGCTCGGCTGAGCTACCGTCGCGAATCGCTCCTCCTCGCTCCTCCTCCTCCTCCTCCTCCTCCTCCTCGCTCCTCCTCCTCCTCCTCCTCGATCATGGACTTCGCGTACA